CCAGCCGAGATTTTCTGGGCGGTGAAGGAGCTGTTACCTTTGGCCCAGCAATTCATCTGGGCAGACGCCATTGTGCGTAAACCGGCCTACTGGGGAGGCTTTCAACCGCATCGGCGCCCAGTCTCCAAGATGCTGTCTGGTAGACGTTCCAGAAAGCAGTTGGGTCTCAACGAAAGCTTCGCGAGGCAGGCCTTTCGTTGCACGGGCTCGTACAGAGGGGGAACTGCACCACTGTGGTAAGCTTGCTTAAGACTCGGCTTTTTTCATCTACGCGAGGCAATCTCAGTGCACCAACAGCCCGGAAGCGTGGGAACGCGTCGAAAAAGCCGTTCACCGGTATCGAGCATTTGGACTGCCTGAAGCTGAAAGCAGCTGGGACCGCTGCTGACGGTTGGGTTAGTGGTTATCTTCCCGGATGAGCTCAACTTTCCCTCTCCGGGCTCTTGCTCCTCGCCCTGTGGTGCCTTCAAGGCTTTGGACAGGTGCGTGTTTGTGTGGTGCATTCCTGTTACCACTGGACCGTTTTTCCCAGCAGAGCGGCGCAATATCGGCACCCTTTCTGGTGGGTGTATCCCGAAGACTTCATCTCCTGCTTTGTGGCAAGAGTGATCAGCGCCTCTTTCGGACAGCAGTGACAGCGGGTTATAAAAGGCGAAGAAGTTTTTTGTAAACGGGGCTGAATCTTGTGCGGAATCATGGGCTGAACCTCTGTTGTACATAATGCGGGATCTTCTCGATCCCTGTAGAGTTCCTATCTTTCTTCTATAATGTAAATAAATCTTCGTTCTACCGCTTACGAATGCGTCTCCTCACTGGCGATGATCAGCTAAGCGGACGACGGCGGGGTGCCAGCTACCCTAAAGAGAAGCTCGCCGGTCTTGCCATCTACTTCCTTCTACCCTTAACAACTGGTGGCAGCGATGGGAGACCATCAGCGAGCTTCCTAGCCCCTACACCATTCATGCGTCAGTTATGATCAAAACTACATTTTAACGATTATTATTCTCTTTCTAACTGAATATCTACGATCTGAATATCTACGAATTTTAACTGAATATCTACGAAAAGGAAGTGCGTTTCTAAACTGAAGATACAGCCAACAGACATCCACTGAGAAGGACGGAAGCTCGGGCGAGTTAGCACGGAACTAAGAAACAAATATTTTAAGCGAAAGAAACAAGGACCGAACAGAAGAGTTCAAACGATGAGCGCTAAGGAAAAAAGATAAAGCACATTTTGTCCTTGTTTTGTGCCCTTAAAAAACTTCTTCATTTGAGACATACGCTGTACGTATCGAGATTGGGCACTGGCTTTCCGAGACAACCCTTTGTAGTGCGACAGCGACGGAGCTTGCTAGCCTAATACACCACAGTTGAAGTACAATACCCTGACCCCCCCCCCCCCCATGTATTTTGTTCAGCTAATGGTGGTTGGATTCTCGTCGCCACTCAATGTCAACAGATTTAGGCTGCGTGTTCGCTCTGAGCGTTTATACGTACAGAAGCAACACTCACCTATAGGTGAGCAAGCTGAGGTGTTGCGATTCGAAGTCGCGAGTTTGGTTCCCGCATTCGCCAGCTGGATTTCCATGGGAGCGAAATGTAGTACCTCTGTACATAGATTTAAATGTTAGAAAGACAGGCAGGGCCTGTTTCTTTTCCATACTTCAAGCACAGGATGGGATGACACTCAATGTGAAGAAAAGTGGCACTCGACAAAGGACGCACCCTCTGTCTGTTGTCGTCGGCAATGTTCGTTCGTGTCCAAACAGGAGGTAAAATGTGGAGTACCTAGCAGTGTCATGCCGGGAAGAAACGTACGCGAACGTGACGTAGGGTAGTGCAAGCTCCCAATCACAATGGTCGGTCGAAACGTATTTCAAATAGCATATCCGTCAGAGTGCCGTTAAAACATTCTGTAAGCCCGTTTGTCTGGGGGTCGTACGATGTCAAAATTTTAGAGGGGGTAAAGCAGGAACGCAGGATATATCAACCACTTTAGAAAGAAACGTACGGCCTCAGTCTGAAAGCAGTTGACAAGGAGTTCCGTGCACTAAATAATATCACGTAATAGAAAACTTACGACGTCCGTAGCGTTGCTTGTTGGCATGGCTCGTGCAACTGCGTAGCGGGTCGCGTAATCTGTAGCAACCACGACCCACTTGTTTCCGGAGACGGATGTTGGGAAGGTACCGAGAAGGTCGAAAACAACACGGAGGAAGGGCTGCGATAGTAATTTGATGGGCTGAAGATACCTGGCAGGCAGTCCCGACGGCTTCTTGGGGCACTGGGAAATTTTGCAAGCGTTGAAATAACGACGCACAGAGCGCCAAAGACGAACCCAGTATAAGCGACAGCGCACACGGTGATATGTGCGAGAGACAACAAGGTGATCCGCGGTTGGCGCATCACGGAGCTCGTGGATAACTGTGGAGCGCGGGTGCTTTGGTATGACCGGAAGTAGGTCGTGACCGGTGGGTGATAGATTATGCCGATATAAGGTGTGGTCCTTTAAGGTAAACATGCGAACAGAAGCGTCGTTCGGTGAAAATTCAAGCTGTTGTATTAAGCGACTGATATCCGGATCGCGCCGCTGCTAGTCACCGAGATGAAGCAGCTGTGAGGTAGAAACGACGCAGCCAACAGAATCAGTGCTATTTGAGTCCCACTCGGCACCAGGGCAGCGTGACAGGCAATCGCCATCTTGGTGCAGTTTTCGTGACTTATACACTACAGTGTGAGAATACTCTTAGAGACGCATACCCAGCAGGAGAGACGACCTGTGGGACGTTTGAGGGAGGTGATCCAGAAAAGAGCATAGTGGTCGGTGAGAACTATAAATGGTCGGCCGTATAAGTAAGGGCAAAATTTTGCGACTGCCAACACCAACGCTAGGTATTCGCACTTTGTGAGGAAATTATTCTGCTCCGAGGGGGCAGCAGCCTGCTGGCATAAGCTATCACGCGATGCTCCCCACGTTGTCGCTGAGCCAAAACAGCGCCTATTTCGTAACCACTGGCATTGGTGTGAACTGGCATCGTAATCACTGGCATTGTAACCACTGGCATCGAAGTAGGGTCGAAGTGAGCCAGTACAGGAGAGGAAGTGAGCAAAGTGGTGAGGTCAGAGAAAGTTTCTGCTTGCGGGGCACCCCAGGTAAATGTCCAGTCTGGTTTGAATGAATTTATTAGGGGCCGAGCAATTTCCGCAAACTTCTTGATAAACCACTAAAAATATGAGCACAGCCCCACAAAACTGCGGACATATTTGGCGTTTTTTGGCACAGAAAAATTCTTCACAGCTCGAACTTTATCTCGGTGAGGCTGTACACCGTTAGCGTCATAAATATGACCAAGGCTTGTAGTCCGGCAGCGACCAAACCGGCACTTGAATGAATTCAGTTAAAGGCCGGCGAGACGGAATACATTCAAGAATTTCGGAGTCTTTTAAGGTGCGCTTCAAAAGTTAAAGCAAACACAATTACGTCCTCCAGATAATAAAGACGCGTACACCACTTCAATCCATGACGCAGGGAGTCTTATTCGTTTGAAGGTGGTGGAGACATTACATTAGCCAAAAGCCACGACCTTGAATTGGTAAAGGCCACCAGGTGTTACAAAAGCCATCTTTTCTCGGTACATGGGGTTCACGGCAATCTGTAAATAACGAGAACGAAGGTCGGTGGAAGAAAGTAGGCAGCACAATGGAGGAAATCAAGGGCGTCATCAATTCGTGGCAGAGGGTAGGTGTCTTTCTTTGTGATGTTGTTAAGGTGGCGATGGTCCACACGAACTTACCACGATTCGTCCTTTTTAACTAAAACCACTGGTGATGCCGAGGCAATGGATGATAGTTCAATAAAATTCTTCGCTAGCACATTGTTCACCTCCTTCTGAATGATGCTCCGCTCAAAACAAGGCACTCTGTAGGAATGGCGGTGAACAGTGTTGGCATCACCTGTTAGTATGTGATGCTGGAGTAAAGAAGACTGCACTACAGGCCAGTCACTAAAATCGAAAATATTCTGGTAGGCCTCGAGAAGATGCTGTGAAGCTTAATTTGCGGAGACGGAAGATCAGTGGCGATTATGTCTACAATTTGACAGCTGCCTGAATGTGCTGTGAGCGGTGTTGGCTGCGCTAGATCAAGGGTGTCTAAGGCAAGCACTTTGGTTTGTAAGTCAGGCAGCCCAATTGAAAAAACGTTTACAATATGAATGGTGGGTTCACCATTCACCATTTTGGTGCAATATGGTGTTGGAAATATTGGTGGGACATGGTGCATTATGGAGTGCAGGCAATGATGGAGCGCGAAGGGGCGTCAGAACCACCGGGACGAGCTGCCACTAAAAAAATGAAAGTAATAGTTGTATAAAAAACAATGTAGAAAACACTCGTAAAAAAACGTGAGCACAGGGATTCGACCTTGCAACCTCAGAATTTTCAGTTAAACTCACCAACCACTGCGCTATGCCGCTTTCTGAAAAATGCTTTGTTAGGCGGCAAAAGTTGTTGTTCTCTTGCTGTTATGGGAGAACACAAAATTCCCCATATACATACATATATATATATATATATATATATATATATATATATATATATATATTCAGCAGGAAGTTCAAGGGGTCTGGTACGTATAAAGAACACAAGCGAGTACACGTACGAAAGAGCAATACTTTTATGCCAACGTTTCAGCCGTGGCACGGCCTGGACGAAGGCCGTGCCACGGCTGAAACGTTGGCATAAAAGTATTGCTCTTTCGTACGTGCACTCGCTTGTGTTCTTTATATATATATATATATATATATAAATAAATATATATATATATATATATATATATATAAATATATATATATATATATATATGTATATACATATATATATATGTATATACATATATATATATATATATATATATATATATATATATATATATATATATATATATATATCACTCGACGTCGAGGTTAACCATGAATTAGGGTTTTGAAAATGAGCTTACCTGTAGTTCGTTGCTAGCGCGTAGAGCTTATTGGGAATCGATTGCCTTTTTATGCGCCATACAGGGTGATCTGCTTTTTAAGCACTGCACGTAGAGTATCTTTGAAAAATAAGTTTAAAAGTTCAGTGTGAAGCTTGGCAGGAAGCACAGCTGCTTAGCGGCAAAGAGGAGCGCTATAGTTACCCATAGTGTTCCCTTTAGGAAACAGGTGGTTGCCACGATCAACAGGATGCGCGTGGCGAGGTTTCATTGTCTTGTTGCCCGACACTGTGCTGCAGGTGGAGGGTGGCGATCGAATTCTTTCTAACTCTCGGTTTCTAGCACAGACGCGTGACTACACAAAGGAACCAGTCATACATACATACAAGAAACTTTATTTTAACAACAGAGGGAGAACGAGGTCTTAAGGCCCCCTCAACCATTCGGTGGCTCGACCCACAACCAGTATTATTTTTCTTACAGATTTACAGACGAGCAGCACTGTGGAAGGCGTCAGTCCAGCGTTTCCGGCACTGAATGAACACATCCGGCTGTGCTTCGAGAGTTCTGTTAAACAGGGCGAGACAAAAAAAGTAAAATCAAGCGCTAGTTTTAGAAGCCGTAGAAAATAGCGAGTTGAACAGGAAATACTAATATTCGCCTCGCACTTGACAATATTTTGCGTTTCAGCTAATGTTCTCGTTTCCATTCGCAGCACGTGCAGTCTTTGTTGACATTCCTTCATTATTCGATCATGCAATGTTGAGCCCTCTTGGTTGACGATTCTTCATTTTTCATTCAGGCAAAATCGAGCCCTCTTACGAAAAAAAGGTGGGGCGTGTACTTGCAGTTTCTCAATGAAACGTTTTCGTGTGCAACTTGAGGGGGGAACTTTCGCCACTGTAGCCATATCCTACTCGGGGCATATTCTGGCAACTCGGGATATCAATCATACTTTTTGGGCGTCTCGATTTTTGGCCACGAGTTCATGGAGAACATACAAGGCCAAAAACAAAATTCACAGTGTCAGTCTCCCAATTGGCTCGACGTGCCCGCACAGGAGTTTCTGTTAAACAGTTAAATAACCTCTGTCTCACTACGTCAAAGAAGGCGAAGTGCACGGTAGAACGAAGTGCTCATTTAAATGAGTCTCTATTACTCTCTATTAGCCAACGGGGGCTTTTCGACCCCCTTAGGTGCCTATCTGTGCATGGCGTTGCCGTGTCTGTGGAAAAAGCTATCCTGAGAGTTCAGCCGACGTTGGGTGATAGCACCTTTGAGGCACCCCAACAGAGGCAACAAAGCCCTTTTCCACAAGTATCGAGTAAATGGCCCTCACCCACCCAAGAGAAATTCGCAATCGCCTTTATTTATTTATTTATTTATTTATATTGATGCATGTCACCATTGAAGAACGAACCGCTGTGGCTCATACATGCTTTGGGATGTAAAAAAGAAGAGATTGGTATTCGTACAGGAAACAGTACGCCGAATTAGTAATTCTCGACATAGCTAAAGCGTACGACAGTGTCGAGCACTCAATTCTACTGACCACCTTGCAGAGCCAAAAATTTCCTCAGTATATCAAGGGAATTCTATTGCGTGAAGGATGGCTGTTGTTCGCATAAATTCAAACAGAAACGTGGTGTTCCCCAAGGGTCCGCCCTATCTCCAGCATTATTCAATAAACTGATGAGCTTTATTCCAATTGTTTAGGATGTCAGTGCCTACATTTATGCAGATAATATCGTGTTCTTCACTGCAGAGAGTGACATTTACTAACTACTTAAAAAATTGCAAAGTTATATTCATACTCTAGAAATTTGGTTGCATTCCATTTCATTGTCATTGAACATTAGTAAAAGTGCGCTCTTGGTGTTTACTATAGCAGATACAGTTTCAATTTCTGTATTGTATAATCGGGAACCTATTTCACAAGTAGACGGAGTCAAGTACTTAGGAATGATTCATATTGAAAAGCTAAATTGGAGCCCACACATAGAATATATAACAGCAAAGGCACCACGGGCGTTAGGTTTATTACGCAGGTTAAGCAACAGAAAATACGGGCTGCGCCGACACACGATGTTATTGATATATAAAGTGTATGTGCGACCAATAATGTAATTTCAGTCTGTATTATTCTCGGGGGCCGCAAGTTATAAAATTAAACCGCTAGTAATGTTAGAGCGAGAAGCCCTGCGAATATGCCTGGGACTTCCCAAGTTCGTGGTGAATAGTGTATTGTACCAAGAAGCGCGATTGCCAACACTCCTCTTTCGATTCCGCATTTTAACGGTTCAAACCTTGTTAACGTTCTACAGTTTACCGGCGTGAAGATCAGAGTACGCATTTATTAGCGACCCTGACTCTTTCTTTCTTGCACATTGGCCTCGTTTTCATACCCCTGAGATAATTTTCGTTAAAAAGAAACTGGATTGCATAATGGTAGACGTTAGCGCAGTAATTGAAACTGATTCCTCAACCCTCAACATTAAAATAGAGTACGATGAAATCTTCCCCCCACAAGCCAAGTTGCAATCTCTCAGCATTTCGACCACTACATTAAAAGTTTACTTAGTACATGCAGAAAATAAAAATGTAATAGCTACAGATGCTTCCGTCAACAATGAAAAGGCAGGCGTAAGAATTGCGTCTGATTTCCTCGGCTGGTCTTTTTCAGTAGGGCTTCCAGATTTCACTCCTATATTTGAAGCCGAGCTAGTAGCTATTATTTTAGCTCTTCTTAAATTTTCTACGACCGAGACCAGTGCAATCATCCTAACAGACTCACTTTCGGTGTGTGCAGCTCTGACAACCTTCAAACAATATCGTGCCCTAGCAGTGTTCCACACATTAGCACCGCCGCATTTAAAACTCCTCAAATTAGTGTGGGTCCCAGGTCACTGCGGATTACAAATAAATGAATTGGCAGATGCTTTGGCACGAGCATCACTTGATGGACCAGTCATTTCAGTACTTCCCGAGTTAGAATACTTATCAGGGGTTAGATATAGAAAATTCACTATTTTTACAGATAGTTTAGAAAATATCACACAATGAACAAATTATCAGCACCTTATTATTCCATAGAAAGCCCGGTGGAGTCCGTGACGAAGACTTGAAATTTTAATCTCCAGATTCTGGTGCCCAGTCCCCCCATTAAACTTTTATTTACACAGAGCTGGTCTGGTACTTCCCCCCTTTGTCCGTTTTGCGAAGATTCAGAAACTATTGAACATTATTTTGGCTCATTTCGGAACTATGCATTAATTAGGAAACGACTTCTAGATATTCCATTTGCGAAGCTAGGTTTGAATTCAACCACAGAAAATGTTCTAAATTTTGTTGCCGCTGTTTTAGGAAATTGCCCCAGAGATGCATTCTATGCGGTGTGTAATTTTATTCAAGACTCTAAACGTTTTTCAACACAAAGCCCACGGTAACAGGTACTGAAAAAAACGGGTCGAAAAGTAATTTTCGAATCTAGATAAATTCATGACATACCAAATTAATCGGGTTGGGCAAAACCAGCTATATCGTCGGCTCCAGAAATCAAGGTATAGCTGTTAGTGTCTACTTTCTTGTTAATTTTTTTCTCACTATCCGAATCTTTAGTTTTTTCTTTTTTTTAATATACTGTCTTCACTAAACAACTCCCCCCCCCCTATTTTATAGGTGAGCAATAGTGCAGTTATATCATTTTATTTATTTATTTATTTTTTTATTTATTTACAAATACTGCAGGCCCTATTCGGGCTCAAGCAAGAGTGGGTAACAAATGTCAGTGACAAAACAGAATATAAATGTATAAGAAAATACAATACTAGGTACAAAAATAAGGAAATTCTCAACATCAACATCAACATATAAATAGTACATAGCAATAATGCCATTCATATCTAAATGCAAAAAATCTCAGCACTTGTGAGGAACATAATATATTGCATATTAAAAATCAAGTGTTAGGTCATTGACGAGATAGGCGAACGATTGTGTCGTTTCGGCATTAACGACCTCCTGAGGTAACTTGCTCCATAATGAAAGAGCATGAGGGATTAATGAGTACTGATGAACGTTGAGATGACTGAATGGCTGTCTAACTGTTTTATTATGATGAATACGATCAAAGCGCACGGACGGGTTGGTTATGTAGCGATTGGGTGAAATTTTGAAGTGACCTTGGTACAATTGGTAGATGAGTTTTATGCGAGAGACTATTTTACGATGAGCGAGATTTTTTAGATTTGCCTCCTCGCGAAGGGCAGAGACGCTTGCAAAACGATTGTAGCTAGGATAAATGAACCTCAGAGGCAGGCTTTGGATCCTCTCCATTTTTTTAATTAGGTATTATTGATACGGCGCCCAGAACAGGTCTGCATATTCTAACTTAGGCTTGATAAGCGCTTTGTAAGCTGTTGGTTTTATAGAAGGTGAAATGCAACGCACTTTACGTTTTAAAAATGCTAACTTCTTTAGCGCATTGCTACAGATGTTATCTATATGAGTTTCCCAATTTAATTTCCTTGTGACACCCAGATATTTCACTCGCGTAACTTTTTTAACATAAGCGTTATTAATAGTATATTGGAATTCCACTGGGTTTTATTTGTTCGTAACTGTGATGGATGGCGTTTTTGATGCGTTGAGCTTCAAGCCCCACTTACCACACCTGATGCAGATGAATTGCAATGCATCGTTGAGTCTGGCTTGATGAGAATGCTGAACAATGTCGGCATAAATAACACAATCGTCCGCAAAAAGTCGGATTTTCTCAGGTGATTGAACTGAGAAATAAATATCATTTATTTACACTAAAAAAAATAATGGTGCAAGCACGGATCCTTGCGGCACTCCTGAGTGTACATGTAATGAGTCAGAAATGCCGTCATTGACCATCATATATTGTTTCCGTGATGACAAATAGCATACGACTGAACGGACAATGTTCTGATTAACACCGATAGCTGACAGTTTCGTAATCAAATCATCGTGTGGTAATACATCAAACGCCTTAGAAAAATCTAAAAACACTGCATTGATCTGGCCCTTAAAGTTTAGTGAATTCACAAAGTCATGAGTGATCTTGGGTGATTGAGTTGAAG